CTTGTCCTTCCATTCTTTAAGATGAAATCTGCTTCACTGTAACTTCTACCTGTGGCTCTAGCGCTGACCTTTGGGATGACCCAGAATTAACCCAAGTCACATTCCATACTTGAAAGGTGTTAAGGTAATGCTCCGGAACTTCTGGTTTATTATAACAGACGGCTGATAGCTCCCAAAGGCCCTTTCCCCAGATTTACAAATACCTAGGAAGATACAGAAAAAGTGCCACCTCACATTACCACCCAAAACTAAGTCTGAGAGAAAAGAAACAGTAGAAGAAAATTTTTGTGAAAATTTATGTTCTTTTGAAGTAGGGAAGACAATTCTTAGTTTGACACCAAAGGCAGACATTATGAAGATTTATAGATTTGACTATGAAATTATAGATAACTTCTATATATTTTTTATAACTTAAGAGGTAAATGACAAACTAGGAAAAACTTTGGCTCTATACATAATGTTAGACTCTAAGTTTTGTAAGGTAAGCACCGTAAACTTAATGCATAGCACACTGTCTGACACATAATAGGTTCTCAAAACATTATTAAATGCATAAAGATGGTTAAGTGAATGAACATATAAAAACCAATTCTAAAATTAAAAAAATAAAAGGTCAAGGGCATGTATATGCAATTGATAAAAGAGAAAATAATCTTTTAAAAGATTGTTCCACCTCAATAATAAATGCAAATTAAATTAGCACCTATAAAATAGCTAAAGTTAATAATATTGGTGTACACCTGCAGAGATGGGCTTTTGCTAGATGCAGACATAAAGGTTAACCCATACAGTGTTTCAGAAGGGCAGTTGGCCACATGTATCAAATCTTCAAAGTTTTGCATGCTGTTATATTTTGGACACTTATTCTAAGGAAACATACATGAAATATGCACACAAACTTGACAAGGAAGATATGGATTAAAGCTTAATTTATAACAATTACATTTAGAAATATATCTCCAAAAAGAGAACAGAAATATTTTGTCACAGATAGACAATTGACTATAACGTGGTCATTAAAATGATATTATACCAGGATATGTGGTGACATGGGAAGATTATTCCTTGAATATGGTTAAGTGATTAAAAAAAAAAACAGGTTATAAAATGGGACACATAATGTGAGGACTGAGACATGACCAAGTTAAAAAGCTCTGAGGGTACCTCTGAGTCTTTCTCAGATGGGCATTCTGAATCCCTTCCACCATTTGTCCTTGGAAAGTGAGCCAATCTTCTGAACTCAAAGAGTGTCCCAGTTGTGTATGAAGTCTTAGGGATCATCCTGGAAAATGCTCATGGGACACAGGTCCTAATGTCCACACTTTGCTTGGTTTCTGAATGTTTTCTGCTTGGGCAGCGCTCCTGTACAGCGGGGGTCTGGACAGCAATTCTTTTTGTTTACAGGGAACAATGAATAATATTGCCAAGGTGATAGTTTACTAGATTGAGAAAAGGCATTTCCAGCAGAGAAACTAGAACATGCAAAAGCCCAGAGACGCAAAAGCTTCTGGCCTGCTCAGGTAACGATGAGTAATCTAGGCGGCGCTGGCTGATACGGAGTCATGAGGGAACTTAAGGCGAGTAGCCCATGAAATGGAAAGGGAGGTCTTTCTAAATCAAGCCGAGGATTCTGAGCTTTTTCCTCATCTTTGCAAATCTGAAGCCTTGGAATGGCATACTGAGATTCATGTTTTAGAAAGAGTGCAGCAGAGGCTACATACTGGAAGCACGTACTTAGGAGAATGGTTTAAGCAAAGGATACCATATATACTTAGTGACCTTTTTGAATTTTAGGATCAGATGTGTTGCCGGTTTGCTACTTAAGTGGTTTCTACGGGCACTTTCTCTTTTATATTGTCCCAGGATTTCCTGGTGGGCCCTAGGGAAAGACAGGACTGTGAGCCCACCCAGGCAGAAAGAGAGAGAGGTGCGTGGTGGCAGGCAGAACACATTCAGGTCTTCTGCTGTTGTCCCATTCAAGTTTTCCCTGACCTGGGGCTTGGACAGCTCTGAGGAAGTGGGCACCCCTCCTGGCGAAGGATGTGGCTATGGCCTCAGGCCTTCCCCAATCATCTGCTCTGCAGTGGGGCCTGCAGGTTCTCACCCCTTTCAGCAGCCTAGGGTTGGAGTGGGTTAACTAGTGGGAGGATGAAGCAGAAGGGAGACCGAGATCTGAGAAGGAAGAACTGCCAGGCTTCTGTGAGGTCTATGTGCATTTGAAAGATTTCAGAATCAACTGAGAATGTAATTAGGTGATTTTTGTTTTTGTTTTTATTTTTGTTTTTTGGGTTTGTTTTTTCCAAAAAATCCAACACCTATGACTCATGTTCATGAGGGCATGCCTGGACGTAGTCATTTTGAGTTTATGGAAAATGTGGTCAGCCCCACAAATCAGTGCTGAGGAATTCTTAACAGTCATCACTGTGTAAGTAATATAGGTTTGTTGAGAGTCTCTTACAATAACGCAAAACAAAACAGAATAAGCATATAGACAAAGACAGTATAGTCCTCCCTTCCCTGGAATTCTCTTTTGAATTGCCATGAGGCAGCTTTGAATTCTTGCTCCTAACTAATCTCTGACCTTTCTTGTGTAACTTTGTATGTACAAGATTTTTGTGGCTGTCGTCATGGCTACATGGACACAATTCTCTGCATCTATTTTTCCCATGTGTCTTAACATTTTAGCAGGGTTTCTATAAAGAAAGCCCTTTTGAAAGTAGGCAGGACAACCACAATTTGTGACAGACCTGGGTCAACTGTGTCCTAATTCTAAGACCTCCTGGACTTCAAATCTATTATTATTTGTGATTGGAGAATGAAAATTCAAGGTGCTATTGTTTTTCTCAAAAGCATACAGAACATCTTCAGAAGTAGTAAATAAGAGATTCAATTTAGATGTGACTTATTAGAGGAAATCTTATGTTTTCATTTCATTGTTGTTGGATTCATTAAATCAGCCTTTTGCCCCCAGTTGGTTCTTATATCTTACATATGATAATATTTATTTCTATCCCTCGTCTTTCCAAAACCCTCCAACTTCTCCGGTTGACCTAGGTTATGAATTTGTTTCAGCCAAACTGGTCAGTGGAGAATGAAATGTTAACAGATTTGGTGGAGATGTTTTTTAGTTGCTCTGAAATGGGCTTGTATACTGGACTAGAATGTTCTGTCACAAAAAATAGTACTGCTGACCCTGAGTTTAGGTAGCTTACTGTTTTTTTGTTGTTGTTGTTGTTTTTTAAAATATTTTATTTATTTATTTTTAGAGCAAGAGGGAAAGGGAAGGAGAAAGGGAGAGAAACATCAATGTGTGGTTGCCTCTCATACGCCCCCTACTGGAGACCTGGCCCACAACCCATGCATGTGCCCTGACTGGGAGTAAAACTGGTAACCCTTTGGTTTGCAGGGTGGCAATCAATCCACTGAGCCACACAAGCCGGGGCTGTTTTATTTTTCTTAATCTGTTAGATGAATCTCATGCACACTAAAGAAAATATTATTTTCCAGAGAAACCAGATATATAACTTATAAGGCCAAATAGCACCCTAAATATAAAGTTTATGCCCTAGGCTCATTTCTCTTAACTGTAGAGTTTGTACTTTAAAATTTCCTATAGCAATGTGTTTGTTGACCTTCACAGACAAAATACAAATTCCATATGTCATAAGGGCCACTGCAGCCAAGCATTTCTAAGATCTGGTTTGTTACCTGTCATACTTGCCTGCTGTCCCTGTCACAACCTGGAACAGGAACAGCTAATTGGGCAGTAGTTTGCAAGAACAATGACACTTTAGACCAAATCCCGTTCCATTGTCACCAGGTGTGAAGGACAGGGGCCTGCCTAACAGGCCCTGCTCTCCTGTTTCATCAGTTGTTTGTGTGGAAGAGTGAGTACGGCTAAGATACGGGCATATTTGATACGTATTGGTGGCAATATGGTTTAAATTTTTGCATCAACCCTTCACAGGCAGTAGAAAAGTACAAAATAAATAACTGCCATTGATTGAGTATGACTATGTGTTCAATGTTGGCCAAATGCTTTACAAACATTACCTTCTCCAACCAGTCACACCGTGAAGGAGTTATTTTCATCTGCTTTATAAAGATGAAGTTCAGAGAGGTTAAGTGACTTGCCCAGAGCTAACTTCCAGTCAGGAAGGAGTAAGATTCAAGCCCAACTCTACCTAATTTGAAGGGAGTTCTAAATTAGACACTTTCATTCTGCTTTTGGGTGAATGTGCCTGATTCCTTGAGAACAAGATGGAAGGTGAAGGTTGCTGATAGTTGAGGGAGAATTTGGTTCCAAGCTTTGCTCTGTTAAATTTATGGAAGAGAGACTTGCTCTTACAAGAAGACATAGCAATGATGTGATGTTAGCAGAACTGAGATTCTTTCCAGTGTTGATACTATCTGAATAGAACAAGTGATACCGCTCTTCAGTTTCCTCATTTACAAAATGAAGACACAGGCAGATGGGTTCTTGGGTCTCTGCTGGCTCCTTCCTAAGTCCTGTTATTTAGAGATGCTCCAAATTTGGTATGGACAATTTTGAGGCAAATCCTTACCAGGGTACAAGGTCCTCCTATGATTTTGGACCATTTGGGCCCAACACCTGCTGGGGAGATGATGGGAGTTTTCTGTGGCCCCTATTTCCTTGCCCCATCTTTTGGTTCTGGCATCCTGTTTGTCACCACTGTCCAGCGTGGCGGGGAGCAGCAGGCCTCTCTCCTGTGATGGCCCAAAGTCAGAACCAGCCCGTCTTTATTCACTCACCATACCTTTATATTAAGTACAGATCCTAGGAAGCTAAACCCTACCTATTTTTTGTTAGAAGTCTTTTCAGAAAAGCTAGTCAAAATTCAATGTTTTACAAAACACAGGATTTTGTAAACTAGTATCTTATTTGTCACTGTATGAGATAATACCTGAAGTTATTCTAGCTCCACAAACACAGGGAGATAGAAAAAGACTGCATGTGTGACACCATTACTGAATCCTACCGTGTCTCCTGGCTGTGGACGCATCACCGACACACGATCATATCCTTTCCTTAGCAGGACCCACAAGGCATCGAGTTTTCCCTGAAAAAAAACAAAACAAAACAATACACTGAGATTACATGTGGCCAGCACAGACATGTTGGGCTTTCCATGCTTCTTCGATCATGTGAATAACACAGCGCTGGCCATGTGGTTGTGATTGGGAAAGTGACTCTCTAGTCCCTAAGTTCAGAAACGTAGGAGAAGAGACACTGAACAGAGGAACCTGATGCTTCAGTGCAGCCCCAAGTTGACAAACCCAGAGCGCTTATTCAGACTATTGGCTTTTGCCCTTGCCGCATTTCTGGATATATCCTAACATAAGTCTATCTTTTCAACTTTCATTAAAATCCCTCCTGCCCCCCCGCCCTCCCCGCCCTCCGCCACACACTTGGTGCCCAGAGTTCGCAAATGAAAACAGTGAAGACAGATCTAGGAAAATTACTAAACAGAAGCATCCAGTGGGCAAGGCCAATAAAAGGCCCCGGGGGTGCGGCTACCTGGCTGTCCGCTAGGCTCACTCCGCAGCTATGACTTGCTCAGGAGCCCAAGGATCGAAAACCACAGATTACCCCAAATCACAGCTTCTTTGGAGTTGTTGGTAACTGACTGTATCTGAGAAGAGTGTCCTCCCAGTATATCATGAAAGCTGTCTCATGCCTCTGGCCATTCTAGTGCTCTAGGCATGTTGTATGAAGGCTGGTTTCTGCCATTGCAAATACTAAACAACAACAAAAAAAGACATTTATTTAGCTTTGTTCTTAGTATTACCCCCAGGTAGTGACTCCATCAACAGGCAGAAGTCCCTTTGCCTTATTTTTGGTCATTGCTCTTGTGGCAGGCAGAAACCTCCCCTCCCCACACCTTCAAAGATGGCACCCTTTTTTCTGGATATGTTACCTTCCATGGCCAAAAGAACTTTGTGATGTGATTAACTTAATCTGCGATGAAGAGATTATTCTGGGTTACCCGCATGGACTCAATCTAACCACATGGCTCCTTAACAGAGGGAGGCAGGAGTGTCAGAGTCAGAGAAGGAGATGTGCCCACAGAGGCAAAATCAGAGCGATTCAAGTGATAAGAGCCAACCCACCGTTGGAGGCTTTGGAGACGGGAGGGGCCAGTGAGTGTGCCTGCCTCTAGAGTCTGGAAAAGGCTAGGAGGAGAATTTTCTTCTAAAGCTTCCAAAAACAAAAAACAACAACAACAAAAAACTGCAGCCCTGGCCTCACCTTGATTTTAGCTCAACGAGACCCATTTTAGGTTTCTGACCTCCAGAACTCTAAGATAATACATTTGTATTGTTTTAAGTCATTAGGTTTATGGTAATTTGTTGCAGCAGCAACAGGAAATGAGTACAGACCTTATCACTCTCTGGCATCGTCTACGTTTAGTTGCTTCCTGTCTGCTTTTGCCAACTGGAATGCCAGCCCCAGGAAAGCAGAGGTGTCATTGGTTCTGCCCAGCCCTTAAATCAGCATCTGATGCTCAATAAAGAGCTGTTGGACTCACGAAAGGATTTAGTGCTACTAAGTGCTGGGTTAGGTGCTTTTATAGGTGTCTTTTCATTTCATTCTCCCAGAAGTCTCAAAGGAAAGGGCATGGAAGGTCAGAGAGATCAACTAACTTGCCCAAAGGCACACAGCTTGTTCACTGGAGAGGTGTGATTGGACCCCATGTTGGTCTAATTCTACAGCTCATATACTTCCCACTACACTGATGGCAGATTCTTCCTCGTGCAATTCTTCTGTCTGGAGCACTTGAATTTAGATCCTTTAGAACGCAGTTTCTAAACTGTAGATTGCAACTCTTTTAAACACTCATAAACAACTTTTTGTGTTAGGAACAGAATTTTTAAGACATAAAATAGGATAGAAAAGAAAAGATTAGAGTTAACACATGGTGAGGATAAATATTGATCTTGTGAAAAATATGTTTCAGTTAAACGTGTGCGGGTCTGTGTATGATGAGTGCGTGTACGTGTGCACACATGTGCACACAAAGGCAGGTACTGAGCTAAGATATATTGCCCACTGGGGTCTCAGGCAGGTGTGCTGGAGAACACTGATCTGGAAGGGTCTTTGCTAGGATAGTGTTGGAAAGGCTGGGGTTGTCTAGACAGTTCAAGTTCCTTGACACAAAGCTTTCATAGTGGCAATGTTAATTTAAGAACATCATCTCAAAGACTTTGTGTTCTGAAATTATATTCTAGTGGGTTATATTCTGATACAAAAAATATGCTCTTGAACCTTTATCAACTATTGCTCAAGTTCTTGGGGTTCAATTTTGCCTCGCTAAGTGTAGTGTTTCTCATCTCTTTTGGCAAAGCATTTATGAAAGTCTCTAAAAATATTTTGAAATGACTTTAGAGTGCTGTGTTCAGCATGGTTTTCTGCATTCAACCCGTTTCAATCATCAGTTACATATTTTCCTTTAAGGTTCTTTGGGATAAGCATTTATATTTCAGCATATAACCAGGTGGATTTCCTGAAAGGATGCCTCTTTTTTTTCTTCTTCTTTCCTTTTTTTGGGGAGGGCAGGGGGTGGACTAACAGTATTTGGTTTTGTAAATCGGCCCACCCACAGGATCCTGTGTGCTAGTCACTCCTTGGCAAATAGGGAGCAATGAGATGCCGCTGTTGAAACATCAATTAACTCTGCAGAAATTTAAAGCCACACGCAGAGCAAAGATGTATACTGCCTAGATGTATACCACCAGGAAAATGGGTCATAAATTATGTTTTTCTTTGTGTCAACAGATCAAAGCATAATATATAATCACAAAATGACTGAATTCAGACTGCCTGAGTTTGAATTTTGGCTCTACCCATCACTAGCTGTGCAGCCTTGGACAAGCTGTTTCATCTCCCTAACGCTTACTTTTCCCATCTTTAAAATGAAGGTAACAACACTGCCTACCCTATAGGCTTGGTATAAGGCTTACGGTTAGATATTGAAGTTACATACTTGTCTCATAGAAAGTATTCATTAAATGTTATCTATGATCATGGGAAGGTCATCAAGATGATCATGAGCCTCTGCAGACAGATGGAAAAGAATGTAATGCAGAGTATAAGAACCCAATAATTTGAACTTTATTAGCATGTATCTCCCCATGCTCTCTTCTGTGCCCTTCCAACCTATGTCCCCTTATCCTTCAAGTCACATGACTTCTTTTTCAGTATGACCTCATCTGGCTTCCCTGGAAGTATTTGGTGGCTCCAACACTCCACTGAAGGCCACCCATGGTGCCCCCAAGTGCCAAATGCCTCGGCCACTTGTGTGCCTCATTTTACTCGACTCTTCTGAGAGATCCGATGTGTTGAGCCTCTCCCTTCTTCTCATTGTTCCTTGGCTTCTGTGCCATCAGCCTCTGCGTACGCTTGACACAGCGGTGTTCCCCTGGGCCCTCTTTGAGTCTTACTTCCAGGGTGGGTGCCCACTCTCAGTACTCTCATCTAGTCTCATGGGTCGAACTTCCCCTTTTCTGCTGATGCCTCACAAATTCTATCTTCAGCTTAGTCTACTCTTTGGGTATCCAGTGACCTGCTAAATCTCAGTTGTAACATACATGTATCACAGGTATTGAAAACCAAACATGACAAATTGAACTATCATTCTCCAGACCCGTTCTCCTGCCTTGGTTCATGGCACCAACATCCATCCAGATGGGCAAGCTGGGCCACTCTCCACCGCCTCCTCACCTCCAAATTCTACCATGCCGCGTGGATATTTAATAGCTCTCTAGTCGCCTCTTCCGTCCCCCCCTGACCCACTGGCTCCGTGGATGCTGCTATGGCCCAGGCTCTTATCTTGTCACTCTATAAACAGTTTCCTGCAGATTCCCTGTCCTCTCTCCTACGTGATTAATACCAGATTACATTTCTAGTCTAAATGAATGCATTGCAGTTAATAAAATAAAGCAAGAAACGTCTTAGCGGCAGTGTGAATTTGGGCAAATTACTGAACCTCTCTGTGTCTTGGTCTTTTCATTTGTAAAATGGGAGTAGTATTAGTTTCTACTTTTGAGGCTTGCTATGAGAAATACAGGAGCGAGTGCATGGAAAGCCTTGGATCTGGGCTTGACTTGTGCGTGCTTCATCCAGGTGGGGGCTTTATCCAGGTGAATTGCTGTTGCTAGATTCTTCTGGCCAAGGTGAGACCTGCTAGTTCTAGTTATAGCCTCAGTATACTGAGGTCTGACTGTCCCACAAATGAACCTGAAGTCTCCACCCCGTGGCATAGAAAACAATCCGGGTATTCTACACATTCTATTCCTCTTTCTACACTTACCCAGGGAGCTTTTTATGGAAGAGCCAGCTTTTTCATGCAAGAGCAATGTGAGCTTAGAATGAGTAGGATTATAGCTCTCTAAAGTCAAAGGGAAATGCATATCAAAGGCTCTTGGAGCCTTGATTTTCTGAATGTAGGTAGAAGCTTGTCATTTCAAGGCAGTAGCTAATGTGCTTATAAATAGCAGCATTTTGGGGCCAGAAGAGCCTCAGGGGGTTCTTTCGACCAGTTCCTGGGCTTCACCCAGAACCTGGGGAAAAGCCTTTGAGTTGACTCCACTACTTAGCTCGGAACTGAGGTCCACAACGCACAGGAAGATGTCTGCACAGGACGCATTTCAAGATGCTGGTCGACACCCCCCAGGAGTAATGCCCACATGCTTCTGGAGCAGAAAGATTTTGCTAGCCACCTGGGGACCCCCTGCCAGACTGTATTAGCTGACATTTAAAAATTGCTTGCTTTCTTTTGAAGTTGACAATTTTGACCATAAAATGGGAAATTTACCAATTCTAGGCTCCCAATGCACCTCGGCCTCAGACAATAACCAATAACTGCTATTCCACAAAGTCAGACAAACTGGAAGTTCTAGGTAAACTCTAGCTTTTGTTTCTTTCTAAACAATAAGATTGTGCCAGGAAGGTTTATGTCACCATCATTCAAAGCACCATAGTACATGGCATTTGTGGCTGGGTTGTTCTTTCCTATTTATTTATTTATTTATTTATTTATTTATTTATTTATTTAGGCAAGCAGCAGCTGTATCTTCTCTTCCGGTTTACCTGCCTTCACTAGGCAGAAGTTTATCAGAGGGTCAGGATTTTGAGGATAGTTCAACTTGTAGGGCTGTTATACACCAACCCTGAAATTTTTATACCTTAAAATATATGGCAAATATTGTGCCCCATGCCTCCCATCAAATTAACTACATTAATGCATAAAGTTGGAAACTTTTCCCACACACTCACACATACATACACACATGGTAATTTTTGTTTGCTCTTTTTTTCTGTTGGTCTTTGTGTCTGTTCAACATCAACAACACATCTGACAACATTTAAAGCTTTGGTTGCAGGTACCGAGCTACATCCAGTATAGTTTCATGACTGAAAGCTGCTTGATTAGAAGGTCAGAGGGGTTAAGGCCAAGGACAACAGGTGGGCCTAACAGAAAATGAACAGATGGCTGCCCCCTCCCAGGCCCTGCAAGAAGCGCAGGCTGGTCTGGCTCCTGCAGAGGATAGCCAGTCTGCCCGGACCGCCAGGGTCTGGCTTTTGTCTTTCGGCTGTCATCTCTGTCATTTCCAGTCATGTGGAGGAGCTACTGGAAAAGGAGAAATATGGTTTCTCTGAAGGCTGCAAGCCTTCCAGCGAACCTGAAAGCAGTCCTGGTTTTAATCTATCTGGTGGCCATTTATCTGGGCATTACTTAACTTGTCTAAAATGGTCAGTCCCAATTTAATGAGAAACATGGGGTGCTGTCAATCCAGGGGGTAAAAACCAAGCAAAGAAAAATTCAGGCCAAATAGTCATGAGCCTGGAATGAGGAAATGGTGAAGTGCGGCCACTGCCTTAAATTAGACCGGGGGACGGCAGAGAGAAGCCCACTGTGGATTCCTTCTCTTGCTGAGTTCCCCCTGGGTTTGCTCAGCTAATGTGCTCCCTTGCTTGTCAAATCTGTTTCATGAGATGCATGAAAAAAATGAGTCAAATGCAATTCGTTAAAAGATGTATATGATTCTGACCAGTTTCACTGGGGAACAAGGAGACTTCCCTGTACCCCCCGAAAGTTTTGCACTGGGAGGGGGTGTTCTTCCTGTTTACAGTAGGGGCAGCACGTAGACTGGTTTGTCTCCATGAGCTGCCTGCCCCCATCCGCTCTCTGTGTTTTTCCGTCTTCCTGGCTCTGTGCCTTGGAAGTCTGACCTCCTCAGATGGCATCATCTGGTTCCTCTTTGGTTTGGCCAATAGGAGGCACCGGAAGGAGATGAAAGGGTAAGATTAGGGGGAGGTTGCAGTATTTATTCCTTCTACTCCCTCCTTGACCCCCTGCCTCCAAAAGTGGCTGCATTCTTACAAGGCAGGGTTCTGGCAAATATTTTCTGTGAAGGACCAGAAAGTAAATATTTTAGGCTTTGAAGGTCAACAGGCAAATGCAGGATGTTATGTTATGTAGGTACTTACATAGCCATTTAAAAATATGAAAACCATTCTTAGCTTGTGGACCGTATAAAGACAGGTGGCAGGCCAGGTTTAGACTGCCGATTCCCTCTCTATGGTCACAATTCCCATCGAGTGGCTTCATCTCTAAGGCACTGGCTCCAGGGATACCACCGGTCCTCCTTGCCCTCAGGCCTGGGGATGCAGCTGCTCCCACTGCTGCACGCTGCTCGTCCCTGGGTGCTTCCCCATTGCTGTGGGTTCCCTTAGCTCTTAGCCCACACCTATGTTAGTTTTTTTTCACACCTATGCTAGTTCAACCCTTTTGAGCATGGCTTCTGTTTCCTGCCAGGATCGTGACAAATCCAGTGAGACGGTTCAGGAAAGGGAAGCAGAGTTTATGGTACTCCTTGAGGCTAAATGTCTTGTCCAAGACCTACTGATGTCCGTTGGCACTGTGGCTAGAATGAGGCTCATCTTTGGACGTGCGCTGTGCTAACACTGAATTTCTGGTAGCAAGTCTGCCTTTCTTCTGGACAAACAGTATACATTTTGACTTTTGAATTCCTTTCTGTGTTTTTATTTTCAACCCTTCTTGTTCAGTCTTTCCCTCACCCTCCTCAGACCAGATACACATAAGATGGCCTCTTTTCCTGTTTTCCTTAAAGAGGTGGCAAGAAGAATGTCACCATCCTTGGACTGCAGGTACCAAAGTGATGTACGTGGATCACGGGAGATAGTCTAACTAGCATGATGCTCTGGGAGTGGTTTCATAATTTCATCCTGTGCCTCAGCTCTTTAACAACAGATGATGGAGTACCTACTCTGTGCCAGGTACAGTGCTGTTTATTGTCAGTTCAAAGGTTAGTTAAGCAGAATTGGTGCCTTCCAGAGGGTCACATCTGGTGGGAAGAAGATTCATAAACATGGACAATCTCACCAGGGCAATTGTGCATCTCCTTCCCGGCAGTGGGAGCTGAGCAAGTGTTGGCATGAGCTGCTCCACCAGCAGAAGTGACATTCCCACTTTCTCACGTCCTAACTCCTAATGAGGGAGCCGCAGGACTTTGTCACCAGGCTGTTTGGGTGATTCCTTAAGACTGTGATTCTCAGCCACTTGGCATTAATCCCATAGTTGTGTTTGTGGAAAATAGACTGTGAAATCTAAAGTGTGTCTCCTTGCTGAGACTCCTGACAAATCAATGAGGTATGATCATGGATTCTTCGCCAGACACCACAGTTCCTGCTCTCAGGGAACCTCCAATGGAAGGCTGCCTGGGGCCTTCCATGACAATTTCTTAACTGGGTTTGTTAAAACCCAGATTACTGGGATCCATCCCCAATGCTGTTGATTCAGTAGATCTGGGTTGGGGCTTGAGAACATGTATTTCTAATACTTCCTGCAGGATGCTGATGCTGCTGGCACTGTGAGAACCAGTGATTTAACATAATGACAAAGAAGGAGGCTCAAGAGCAGGGGCTACAGAGGGAGCGGTATTTGAGGCAACAGAAGGCTATCACTTGGGGAGTTTAGATGTGAAATTTCAAAAGGAGGCATGGGGTGGGGAGTTTAACTTAATGAAAAGAAGTGAGCAAGTTTTGATGGACGGTGCACCTTTGAAAGCTTTTTGGGAGACTGAGTCATCAGGCTGGAGACATTAGGACTGGAAATCTGTATTTTTAAAGCTCTCCCAGATGCTTCTGATACTCTGCTAGGCTTGCGACCTCTGAATACTCAGGTTCTCAAGAAATACTCTATGAATTGATACTAATCCAAGCGGGTGTTGGGGACAATTTTAGATTCCCAGGCCTAGTTCTCCATATCCCTATTTATTTCATAGAACTCAGTTCTAAATCACCACTTAATAGAGGAATAACATGCTTTCAAGCACAGATTAGAGTCTTCAAACAGAATTAATGTTCTCTTAACATCCAAGATTACAGAAATGAAAACCTGGCGATAACCAAATATGTTGTATTAGTCACAATGTACAGATGGCTGCAAACAACATGACAGAAAAACTCCTTTCTTCTTCATCTCTGAGATTCTCTTTGGCTCCTTCCTGTCTGTGCACGCATGCACGCCACTGCATGCTCCACATTAGAAAATAATTGCAAGCAAAACAGCTGTTAGTCAAGCAAACTACACTTCACCCACATCTTTCCAGAGTTCAACCCACTGCCTCAGGGCTTTTAACTTAAAAAAGAATTTCACTGCTTTAAACAAGGCAAACCAAAATGAAAATACATTGCAATTAGTGTGGGCATGAGCTGGCTTGGCAGGGAGAGACAACTACCAATAAAGTTTCACTCTACTGTTTAAAATGGTTATTTCTTTTGATTTCATAGGAGAAGGGCTGTTCTAAAATGAGCAAATAACTCACAGAATAATGAATATTGTTTTTGCTACATTGGAAGAGGAGTAAGGTTATATGTTTGCATGCGTGCGGGTGCATGTGTGTGTTTGTGATGAGAGCTGGCTCACATGTTAAGTCTTTCACTGGAGGCCTTGGAGGTGGTCCAGTTCTGTTCAGAGCACAGAACTAGAGGCTGTAGACCTGTGTTGGGGAGGACAAGGACTGTTTATCTGAGTTCCTCCTCTATGAAATGAAGGGAGACAGATTCTCTCTGAGTCTTCCAAGCTATAATTTTCTCATGTTCTTTACCAATTGGCATAGTGCATACATTAATGAGCAAACCTGAGGAACAAAGGTATTGAATGAATCACATATATTCAAAGGCATTTGTACCCCAGCAAGAGAGAAGAGGCCTTCAGGAAGCATGAGCTGCCTCTTATGGTTTAAACTTCCTAATAAGCTAAAGAGATTTTAAGGTCTAGAGCTGGGGGGAAAGGAAGAGAGATAGTGAAGAAGAAAGAGATTTTGCTCACGGCAAGAGAGACTGAGCCTTAGATCCATGATCAGTGCGATCCACCAGTGTGTTCTGATACACTTGGTGGGCGGGGAATGGGCTTGTGTTATGGCAAGAGGACTAGAGATTATGTGTTAAGGGGACCCCATTGTTAGTTAATGGAATTGCCTGCCAATGAAATGAGATATTATAGAACTTCATAAAGACCCTCTTGGGGTTACTACCCAAGTCCACTCTCATTCCACTACTTTGCCATGGTGATTTTCAAAAACCTAGTTCTCAACCACGATAATGCAGAAACTGAGAAAAAGTAAGTACCTATGCTTTTAAGTCTATGATTTAAGAAATTTGCTCCTCTCCCATAATCTGGAATTTGACTTGTTATTTCATCATGTCAAGGAGTCTGATTCTTACTATGTAAGTGCTTTATCAGGAGTGAGGATGGATTTTTGAGTAGAAAGAGACTCACCTTAATCGGAGAGTACCATTTCCGGGGGGACGAGGGTCGGCGCATGTTGTTGTTGAGGTTTCGAGGCTCAGGGAATTCGTACTCTTGCTCTGGCATCTTGACTCTTGCATTCTTTGCCTTTTCCAACTTAGCACCTTCTTCTGTGGAGCCCTTTTCTCCCCAACGAACCTAAATTAAGTAACATACAAAAAACCAAAATGATAAAATAAAATATGATGCCCCCAGAGAATGGGGAGCACAAATACATGTGTAATATGCAATGCAGGAGCTCCCCAATCCTCAATCATTTTGCATTCTGAGGGCCAAGGAAGACAGGTGTGGAAAAAGGGGAAGGGGGGAGGGCAGAAGGAACCGAGAGATCAAACCATGTGGACGGATATTTAGGGGTGAAATTATGCAGGCCGTGGGGAGAGCAGGTGCAAAAGTTTTGCAGGCCCAGGTGAGAACTTTGGCTTTTACTCCAGTGAGAAGAAACCACGGGGGGGTTTGGGCAAACTGCTCTGACTCATGATGGGCAAGATATGCGGTGCACAGTTAAAAGGCTGTACCTGCCTTCTCTCCATCGGATGCCTCACAATTCACATCCCCACCAGACCTCAAGTATGAGTTTTCATCAGTTTGCTTGGGTTTTCCATCATTGAGTCGGCAGCACATAGATATGAGTACAATAGTCCTCTCTTATCCATGGGGTATATGTTCCAAGACCCCCAGTGGATGCCTGAAACCATGAATAGTACCAAACCCTGTATATGTTAATTTTTCCCTCTACACACATACCTATGGTAGTTGAATTTATAAATTAGGTATAGTGAGATTAACAATGATAATTAGTAATAAAATACAACAATTAAAACAATAAATTACTATAAAAGTTATGTGAATGTGGTCTTTTTCTCTCTCTCAGCAAACCAGCATGAATTTCTTTTTCTTTTGTCACAGTTTCACAGATAGAAGATTCATTCTCATGATAGATCTTAGTAACCTCAGCATATGATTTTTTTCTTGGCTTAGTAAGTAGGGAATTTTTATCTTCACACTAAAAGGAAACATTTTATGGCTTCTCTTTGGTATAAATAGTGAAATAGGCTGCTTGAATACCAGCACTGCAATACCCCACCAGATGTTCTGATAACCAAGACCACTACTAAGTGACTAACCGGCGGGGAGTATATACTGTATGGATATGCTGGGTAAAGGGTGACTCACACCCCAGGAGGGATGGAGCAGGACAGTTCAAATTTTATCATGCTACTCAGAATGACATGTAGCTTAAAACTTATGAATTGTTTATTTCTGGAATTTTCCATTTACTGTTTTTGGACCATGGTTGGCCACGGGTAACTAAAACTGTGGAAAGAGAAACCACAGATAAGGAGACTACTGTACTTTAAGCTGTTCACTTACCTCCATTCTTTTAATGCCTCCAACACCTCGCCCACCATAATAAGAAGCATCTACTGTAGGCCACTTTTTCTTAGGCAGACCATCATCATCTTCCTCCTGCAGAGAGATTGTGGACATGAAGGAAGCAAAGCACCATTGCTGTGTTATGTGTCCACTATGGCAACATGGACAAAAGTAGACTGCCTGGGTGAAATCCCAGGGCTACTGCTTAGTGGGGCTTTGGACATGTCACTTCACTTATACAAGCTTATTTTCCTTCTCTGTAAAGTGGGAATAAAAGCAGTACTACCTGGTAAGGTTGTGGCACAATCCTGGGACCTGTTATCTTTTTCATTTCTATTACTTTGTAGGTAACTAGTCCAATCCCATCTACATGCTGATGACTTGTGAATTTATATCTTCATCTCGGACTCCTACAAACTCCAACTGTTGGCTTGACATTGATATCAACTCTTGGGGTACTAAATATCCTCTTGACTGTACCACGTCAGAGAAAAATCCTGATCTCCCCATCTCAAACCTGCTCCATAGTTTTCCCCATTGCTTTGGAGTCATTCTTAAATTTTCTCTTCCCTTCACTGCTTCTCCCCAACCCCATCTCAATTTGTCAGCAGATTCTGTTGACCCTACTTCTAAAAGATCCTAAATCTGTGACTTCTCCAACTCGGGCTCCATTACCAAACCACCATACAGGCCCCAAGTCTCCATAAGCTTTCTCCTGTATACTGTGGTAGTCTCCTAATTGGTCTCCCTACTGCCCTTCTATTTGTTCTATACTTCCTGTAATCCATTCTCCACAAAGCAGAATAAAATCCAAACCCCAACTCTACCTTGTTAGCTCTGGCCTTTGCTCACCTCTTCAGCCTCCTTCTTCACCATGCTCCCCTCCTCCCCACGTTCGAGCCCCCTGTTCTCTCTCTGTCCCTCCAGGACTCTGAGCACAGTTCTGTCTCGGGCCCTGGGTACAAGCTGTTCCCTCGTGTAGGACTGCTGTTTCACTCTATTAATCCGTTTTATTTTTAGTTATAGATCTCATTATTGCTTGATATTTATTTATTGTCTATCTCTCTATGCTGGAATGTAAGTTCCATGGAAGCTTCTGTTTGTCATGTTTCGTGTTCTCAGCTTATAGAATGGTACCTAGCATGTGGTGGGTGCCCAAAGGGTATCTGTTGAGTTTACAAATAAATTAAACTAGATGATTCAAATAAAGCAGTTAACTCAGTGTCTGCAACTTAGCTCAGTGAAAGAAAGTTAGCACTTATTATATTTTAAAATGAAGGGAGAAAAACAAGAGGAACTTGTAACTGTATGGGTGGAAAAGAGAAGAATAATTAGCAAAACTGCTCCACATCTCAGCACTGTAATTATTCCTGTTGTGGGGAAAGATTGCCATTTACAGCCATGGATGGCTTACAGGGTGGTGGCATGAATTACTTGCGGAGACAAAAGAAACTAAAAAAGGGGCCTGCAAAGCAGAGGAATGAGCAAAGGGGGCAAAAATGCTCAGAATAAGCCTGCTTCTTATGGCCTTGTGTTAGTGGCATTTGGGGAGTCAAGGACTCAGCGTGGAGCTCCAGGTAGGGCTGCCATTGTGTGGAAAGGGGAGTCCCATGCAGAAGGCAAGGTACAAAACATTGGCAAGTGGTCTGCAGAAAAGAGACTAGAGCCAGGGGTGACAAAACAGTAACACAGTAAGGCACTGGAACTGCCTGGGTGACCTGCTGTGCCTAGGACACAGATATTATATATCTTAAAGGACAGTGATCATAGCAGATCAGAGGACTTGCAACGGTCTGGCAGATAACACTTAGATTGGTCTCTCTCTGTCTTTTTAAAAAAGAAATGTCATTTCCATGGCTTTTGAGATCTTGCTTCTTGGCAATTGTCATCAGTTTGGCTCAAAGAAAATCTTGTTAAAAATCTTCACAGGTTTCGACATTTCTTATATCAATAACTGTGCTTATTATATATATTAATATACAACATCAACATATAATTTTATTTAATATATAACATATTATATATTTATCAGTGTTATTCTATTATAGTTTTTCCCAATTTCCCCCCCTTTGTCCTCCTCTGCCCAGCCCACCCCCCACTCCCAGTCATTCGCCACACTGTTGTTGTTCTTTCTTGTATTTTCTTATTTCTGATTTTGGCTTTTTCTTTTCTACATAAAGAAGACTCTTTTACATTTCTTACAAAGCCAGTTCAGTGGTGGTGAACTCCTTTATTTTTTCTTGTCTAGGAAGTTCTTTATCTCTCCTTCAATTCTGAATGATAACCTTTGCTGGGTATAGTATTCTAGGCTGTAGGTTCCTTTCCTTCAGGACTTTATATATTTCTTGTCACTACCTCTGGCCTGTAAAGTTACTGCTGAGTGATCAGCTGACAGTCTGATCAGAAATCATCTGTCTTCATTTTATATGACTTGTCTCCTTCTTGCTGCCTTCAATATTTTCTCTTTACCTTTAACTTTTAAGTTGGTGTGGGGATTTTTATGTTTAGCTTGTTTGGAACTTCCTGTGCTTCCTGGAACGTTTCCTGCCTCAGATTAGGAAAGTCTTCAGCCTTTATTTTCTCAAATATACTTTCTCCCTCTTTTTCTCTCTCTTTTCCTAATATAATCCCTATAATGGGAATTTTAGAGTAATAGGTGTCTTATTAGAGAGAGGAAGGGGGATTTTACAAACAGACTCACACAGAGGATGGCAATGTGGACAGGGAGCAGGGAGAGATGTTGCTGCAAGCCAAGGAATGCCAACAGCTACCAAAAGCTAGAAGAGGCCATGAAAAGAGCCTCTAAAGGAGTGGGGCTATGCCAAAACATAGATTTTGACTTTAAGGGCTTCAGAATTGAGAGAAGTTTGTGTGTGTGTGTGTGTGTGTGTGTGTGTGTGTGTGTGTTTTGAAGCCACCTAGTTTATAATTATTATGGCAGCCTTAAGAAATGAATACAATTATCCTTGTATCACTTTATTAATTCCTTTTTGCTTTCTACATAAATTTCATATTATTGATGGAGTTTCAATCATTGGGATACTCTGCTGAAAGAGGAAGATAAGATAGTGAACTCATAAAGGAAAACAAGAGTCAGCAGTCACTGCCAGAATTTATGGGTGGGGTGAGGGAGTGACTATACAGGGATAGCATGAAGAACTCCAAGGAGCTCTTTGTGATGACATGAAAGTTCTGCATATTGATTACAGTGCTGGTTGTATGAATGTATACATGTGTTAAAATTCATAGAACTGTCCCTTCCAAAATGTCAATTTTGCTATGTAATTAAAAATTTTTTTAAAAATGGCAAAAATAAATAAATCAGATCTGTCCTTCTTCACATGGGACTGCAAATCCTGAAGGCAGAGTGGATTCTTGTATGAAATCCAGCACACGGTAGGTGCTCAATAAACACTTAGTGAATTTGTGATAACCATAGCTGAACTTATGCATCCTTTACCATGTATGTGCCAGTCATTCTTGAATCTCACAACAGACAGTGAGGTAGGTGGTGCTATTATGCCCATTTTGGGAGAAGGCATAGAGAGGCTGAGTGACTTAGGTCACCTAGCCTGTTTCTGACGGAGCCAGCTCTTTGAGCCCAGGCAGCCTCACTCTCATTAGACTGTTTCTCAGGGTTGGCAGTTCTGGGTTTTGTCCTTTGGCATTTTGCTTTTCCAACCATCTGATGGTATCAAATAAAAGCTAGTTCTCTACTTCTCACCCCTTGTACCTGCTAATTTAAAAAGATTTATGACTATAAAACATTACAAAATAATAAAATAAAAACAAAACCCCCAAATAATAAAGTAGTTCACATTAATTTGCCTTATAATTTTCAGAAGGCTTGCGATGTCAAACCAAGAACCTTGGATATCTTACATATGTGGTTAAACTTTACCGCTGGAGGCGGATGTGGTTGTCTGTGTGTCATCTATGAAATGTGGCTTCAAAAAGCCTGGCCTAGCGCCATTTTCCAAAGGAGATAACTAAAATTATATTATCCAAAACCGAATATAGCAGCACCAAGAGTGTACGAGACTCCAAGAATAAAGCTGCTTTATTCAATAGGGAACTAAACTGGTTTGATGAATCTCCAATTTTTTTTTAAACGACAGGAGGACAAACATTGAAGACTACGTAACTGAGCCTTTCCATTGCCTAGAAGAGGACAGTCGGATGCAGAGAAATGAAGAGATGGGTGGAATTGAGTTGCATTTCTGGTTTGGTCTCCTGATGCCCTGTCCTAGGATCTTCCCCCACACCTGCATACCCAGCAGCCCTTCCTCGCATCTCTTCCCTTCTTGCCTAAGACTCGCTGCCACCTCCATTTCTGGGCTGTGCCTAAGTAAGGAGGCGGGGCCAGTCTCCTGCGCGTGCGCAAAGCCCGGTGTTCCCATTACAGGAAATGCCAGGGCTTAAATCAGCTCCACATGCTCCTGATCCACCAAGCCTGACGTTGAATCCCCTGACCCGAGATTGCCTGCCAAACTCAAATAGCAGCAGAAAAAGACAACACGAAGGCCCAGGTTTGACCAACGAGAGAGTCAGAATTTCCCTGCAGTTACCATGGCTCTGTTTACACATTTTAGAGATGGAAGGGTTTTGCAATCTTCAGATGAGAGAGAAGGGAATCTTTGATGAGTCTTTGGCCAAAAATTGGTGGAGTAAAATCACAGCCCCCAGCAATTCCACTAAGAAAATCAGCAGCACCGGCGGTGAATGTCTATATCCAATTAAGTTCAAGGGCTTTTGGCAAGTTCCCCACACATTGTCCCTCAACGATGTAGCAGGGAGTGGAAAACCACCAGTACAGAAATCCTCTCTGATTACGGGAGGACAGACTGGGTAAGCCGACTTGATTTGTGTGAGCAAAGTGGCAGGAATCGGGTTTGTGGGCAGTCGGCGGAAGACCAGCAGAAAACAGTAGAACTGAGGTACCAGGAAACTGCCAAGGTCCACCTGAGGGGATTGCTGTGAGAACCTCCCAGCAGCGGGAATGACGGGGATGCTAAAGAAAAGGCTGCTTAATATTCTGTCAGAAACTATTCATCGGCTGCACTGTTACACGGTGGTGTAACCGTGTACTATCAAACCTTCAGGAAAAGTCCCTGTGTGGAATGGCCTTTTGCCAGTGGTGCCTTTAGGGGCATGTAGCAATCGGGTTTGTTAGGTGTTGTCTAGCAAATGAAGAAGAGGGGATATCACAGGAGAAGCAAGAAACAGAAGTTAGCGGTGCTGGAAAAACCGCAGAGATTAGGGAAGAGTGCTGGTTTCCCAGCAGGGGAAGTTAGTGTTTACATCTTAAAGGATGGGGTAACTCCAGACGTCCAGTTGGCTGATGTTTGGGTTACACAAGTGGCAGCACATTACTCAGATAGTAGAGGCCCATTCTGACCTGCCTGTCCTCAGTCACAGTCCTGCTCTAGAAAGAAATAGGTATAGACTAGGAAGTCTGATGCACACTTTGCTTAGTCTCAGATTGGGTTAGTCCTGTGCTGCCCTCAGACGCTGAACTTTTCCGTCTTTCCAGTCATGTCAGGTTTTTGAACAGCTCCACGTGTCAACATTCACAGCTTGTATGCTTGTAATACCGGTCTCCACTTCTTCTACCTATCTTTTAAGATGTGGCTCAAATGTAACCTATTCTGTGAAGATCTCCCTGACTCCCCAGAGGATTCAATACTCCCTTCTTGTGTTCCCTACAGCTCCTTGTAGTGACCTTCCCTCACTCAACAAATATCTAACTATTGGTGATTAAGCAAACCAGTGAATAGAAGGGTGAGATCTCTGATCCTAGGGCTGCCTTATTCCTCCATATTGACTGTGCCCGGACAACACTGCAGACTTGATGTCAACAGATCCCCCTGGAGTTGTGCATGTGGTGTCCCTCTTAGATTAAGTCTACAAGTTCTTTAACATTCCTGCTTTTCTGATATCCAGGTGGCCAGCTTGACCTGAACAGGCTCTCACCCCCAATTCACTGCAGGTACCAGAGGGACTATTTATGGAGAGGAGAATGTAGCAGAAACAGAATTGAGCCCAAGGAAATAGTTTTAAATCAGCCTTTGAATTCATTTAAAATTTCATTGAACTGGAACACATCTTAAATCCTATGACAAGCCCTGATAGCCCATCCTTCAGTCACTTACACAGGTAACAGTAGCTGAGACCCCTGCTTGCCAGCATGGTGTTATATTTTGAGGAAAATAAAGGCGATGCAGCTGTCAACAAGATCGTTTACCTTTATAGAGGAGTAAGTTTTGTGAGGGTGATGACATGAAGCAAGTAAAGGACAAAGGCCACAGAACTCCTAGGCTCAGGAGATTCTGAAGGGCTGAACCTAAAGTAGAACTGGTTGTCTGTCTTATCTGAAGACTCTGGGGATGAGCCAGGAAGTCACCCTCAGTGTCAGTCTTAGAGATTAACTCATAGGAATGAACTGAAAAATCCAGCAACACTTCTGTATATAAAAACAAATTCCAAATGACCCAAGATTTTCTTGTTCTGAGCTTCGTAACATGTCATAGAACCATCATAACTATTCACACACCCATAACGATTCAGGATGACGCACGAATTTGGTGGCATTCTTCAATAAAGGACAGGGCATTTTTTAAAGAAGCAGTGATTCTTTTTTTAACTATTGAAGCATTGAATGCTGAGTTCTGGGCCTGGTCTAGACTTCTGTTTGGCATGTACTTATGTGTGTGCGTGTGTTAGTGTGTACTGGTGTGCAGTCGATGTCCACTGGTGGTGGTGTGGCCCTTCCGCCCCCCGGAGTCGGAGGCTCTTCTGCCTGTCTGTGTAGGCACAGCCAGGACTGCCGCTTGGTGCTGGTTATATAATTTTTCCATCACTGAGTTATTTTCATCTAAAAGTTCTTGCCTCAAAGAAATTGTTAGGATCAATCAGTGTGATAATAAAATTGGAAATAAGTTCATCATTCAAAGGCAGGTGCTCATTGTTAACTGGATTGTTAATTCACCCAGTGTGAATGTCTTCAATACCCATCGCTCTCCCTCTCAGAGTCAGAAAATCCATGGAAGAAGATTCTGCTTAGAACTAAACCATCAGCTGAAGTACTCCATTGTTGCATTCTCCCATAAACTGCCAATTATTTGGAATAACTAGAGACTTAGTGAGGAATCCTCACTGTGCTGCCAATTAGAGAAGAAATGCCCCTCTGAGTTGTTAAAATGGAGCTTCCCTGCTTTTGGTGAGATCTGGAAATTTCAAGTAATTTTTCTTTGTTTTCCAGTTATACAGAAGTATCACTGCTCCTTGCATGGAATCTCAAAAAGCCATAACTTTTTATATTGTGCATGTTGATATTCCTATTAAAGAGAATCATTGTGAGAACATTATAAAGTTATGTTCATTCTTGAAGTTCAGTTATTTAAACAGTAGATATTCTTCCCTTGGGATACAATGCTCATAGATCTGATGAAAGTTGGGATAAATGATATGTAACTTGTTCATATATATAAATGGCAGAGTGTTAGACAACATGTTAAGCTCTTTGGGGATAAGACAAAGATTAATTAAATCTATAGATCTCGATCTTTAGGTAGCTAATGGTCTTAAACTTTGGTGCAGAAGGAAGAGTCAGTAAAAAAAAAAAACAACACCCTGGGAGTGCAGAGAAAAGAGAAATTAGTTCTGATGGAAGGAATCACAGTGTGGCTTATAGCACATGAGCTGTCCTTGAAAAACTGGTGGGATTTGAACACAAGGAGCTGGAGTAAAGACGGTTGTCTAGATTCAGACTCTTATTTCCAGGGCATTGCATAATTCATGCAATATAACTTTATACTATAAAATACTCTGTATGGGCTAAGATATATTATCTGTTTCTGTGGGATTTCTTTATTTTTTTTTCTGCCAAAACACATTAGGAAGGAGATTAGGGCTGCTTCACTTCCAGGGCCAGGGGACTGTCAGGGCCAAGACACATGCGAAGGTAATCAGCACGGCCCGCAGCCCGCCCCGCCAGCACGGAAGCTCGTTTGGGTCTAACACAACCCTTTAAACCTCCAGTATCCCAAGGTTGTCATTCTGTTTCAGAAACCAGGTCTGCCTTCTTCAGGTGAAACTTCTCTAAGAATATGAGAAGAATCTGGAAAAACTCAAGTACTTCTCTTGCTTTCAGCTATTCTTTCTTTGTATTTTTCTGGTTTGAGCATTTTTTCCTCCCCCCAAATTGTTCATTCTACACATGCTTATTGAACTGTTCTGTGTGTGGAGTCCTATTCTAGATGCTGGGGTCTGGAGTTGTACCCCATGGTCTTGTACCTAAGTCCCCTGGTACATTTTGGCCGTAGAAGCTGCCACATCACCTTCCAAAGGCAAGTGCAGAACTAGCACAAGAAGAAACGTCAACTACTCCTCAAACTGAACATAATGAGGGAAGAGAACCCTCCCTTTAGGGCAAATGGACCAACCTCATCAGGGGAGTTTCTTGACCTATTTTTCTTTTGGAACTATGAGAGGCAGCTGCACACGACAGGAACACAGCCAACCTGTGGAACTAACCATGGTTCTTTCTCTTGAAGGATTAGGAAAAGGCTTTCGTGGATGTAAAGATGGTTTCCCCCCACCCCTTCTCTTTGCACAGCAGTGTAATTTCCTTCCCTGATTTCTGGGCAGAAAGTTAGCATTCCAACAAGATGTGCTTTAATTGATGGCAGCTATTAAATCTCTTGGCTTCCATGCATATGGCTGAGGATATAAGAGACACATGGAATTTTAAATTTAATCATTACTCTTTCTGTATGTAGGAAACTTGACAAAGGCATTGGGAAGAGAAATGATGAGGGGGTGGTACTTGGTTTGCACACAACAGACCTTCAGGATTGAGAACAATGAACTAGAAACCTCATCAATGCAGCTTTTGGTCCCACTCGGTTTTCAGATGTGTACCCTGGCTCTAAGCTGGTGAGTGTTGCATCCAGGGAGGCCAGCTCTCCTGGGAGCGATCAGAGCGCCAGGAAAGCCACTAGCCAGGCACTCCTGCCCCCTGGTGCTCCTTCTCACCATCAGCCTTTAATGCCTCCCTTTTACCGCAGGCGAACTTCTTAAGGGCCAATTTATGGTGGAGTCTAAGATATTTTTCTTCCTTGCAACAGATGATGAGGATTTGAGAGCAAGGACGGGATATTAGCATATCCCCTTCCAATATATTTTTATTACTGCCTGGCAAATCTTTACATAACATTGTTTTAAATTAAAGATCAATGGCATACTTTGGCAGGCTGTTCCCAGAGTCACTGATTTTCCCTGATCTACACACATAAAGCAAAAGTCTCTGCAGGGAGAAGAGATCCCTAAAATGTCTCTTTCAGAGGAAAAATCAGTACCCTGGAGCTCCAAATAATTGTATTGATAAAAATGTTTTTGTTTGCATCTCAAATGCTATCTTTGCAAAGAGGAAACCTTCCAAAACCACCTGTCTGTGACTGCCAGTTTAGTTCAGTTCCTGTTCATCTTGGGTTAGGAAAGAGCCAAAGGCCTCCCTCCCTGCTGCTTCATATGTTCTGGGAGCCCGGGCCTGACTTAGCTCTGCTTTGCAGGGGCCTGAGGCTCAGGCCAGCCCATCTAGTTCTCTGCCCCACTCTACCACCCTGTCCATGCGGCTACACCCTTCTCTGGTCACTCACCTCACTTTCCTCAGCAGGGGGTGGAGGGATCTCTTTGATAATCTGAAAAGAAAAGAAAGAACAAGTCAGTGAAAATCTCCAGCCATCTGCTTTCCAAGAGGCCTGCTCTCAACAGGTGCCTTGGTAGTGTGGCCATAACTACCATGGGGTCCAAGCAGAGGGTCCCATTCTCAATTCTGTCTGTTGTAGTTTTGAATAGAGAAAAAACCGTTTCACAGGTAACAGTTTCATCTCTTACCACAGGTCTCTTGAAAATTTACTCACTCATTTTTTTCACCCAGTCATTCATACATGAAATCATTCATCCATCTGTCCATCCAAACAGCTGCATGTTTAACAAACAATTGTACCTGACAGAGGTTAATATGGTGTTGCAGAGATGAGTCAGGTATAAACCACACTCAAGCTGTTGGTAGTTCTGTTAACTATCATTGCTCCAAGTGGTACCCATCAAGGGAGGGTGTATGGTGTAGTGGTCAGGCAGACCGATTCCCAACAGTGGGCAGCAAAGAAGGGGTAGCCTGGGATTTTTTCAGGGCCCTGAACTTTAAGGGTCAAAGATTTACATAACGATATTATAAGAATGTGTTCTGCAATTGCCTTATCATCGTGGACACTCTGGACACGCAACAACTAGCCCCTTGCAACTAATGAGAGAATGAGTGACACATGGGAGAAGGGCAGGGAAGAAGGGCAGCTGGGTGCCAGTAAGCAGCCTCTCCTTACTCTTGTCCCCACCTTGCACACTGCATTCATACAAGGAAAGCCCTTGTAGTTACCTAGATTCAGAGTCTTTTACAAGGCAGTTCGGCCATTATCTCCTGTGATTCTACCATGTCTTTTGCTGGCTCCCTCCTCTCATCCCAAGCTTATTTTGGCTCACCCGCATACAGTCCTTTTCTTTAGGGGGGATTCTGATAAGTACAAAGCTCAATCTGTATCTTTTGATGTCTTAGTGTCAGGGCTGGTGTGGACCACTTGTGGATGAATGCTCAGGCATTGCCCACAGGACCAGCTCCTTAATCTAGTTGGAGAGTTCTCCAGGTTGCAGGGCAGATTGCATACTGGGCATCAAACTCTTCCCAACTAGGCACATATCACCTTTGGCTTAATGATCATTCTGGGATCTCACTGGGCTCTGATTCTTACAGTTATCATCCATGCTACCATTATCTGTAATGTCATCTCTGTACGCAGAGACAGGCTCCTGACTTGAGGCTCTATTAACATCAGCTAGGGGACTGAAACTCCAGTCATCTACAAGGACAGGATTCAATTAATTAAGAGGCAAAGGCTAAGATCTCCAGGGATTTCAAACTATCATTTCATCTGCCTCCACTTCCTGGCCGTTCTGGGAAGCCTGCTGAAGGTTTTTGGAAAGCTTGAAGCGGGTGATTTTGCTCACCCACTCAACACTGGCTACGAATTCTTCACAGCAGTCTCTGGGGAGGGCCATTACTGCCCAATGCTGATTTCCCATCATCCCAGAGGCAGTGCTGATTTAAAAACAGGAAATGCCTGGGAACAGGAGGGAGAGGTGAGGGGGCAACAATCTAGAATGTGTCTCCTCTTTGGGCATGGTTAATGAGGGGGGCGAGAGGGGGCAGGGTATTTGGGAACAGATGGATGGTGACAGGGGTGCTGTGGGCAATGTGCACGGTAAGGACCCCGGGTATGTAGTGGTTCAGTGCAGAGCAGCTGAGCTTTTGTCTTCACAGGGCGACCAGCTTCCTCCCTCACTGCATGGCAGCACAATGGAGTTGTCAAAGGAACCCCAGGCTTGCTTTTTTCTTACTGTGAGGATTTGATCAGTCCTTGAACCTCCCTGAGCCCCACTGCCCTCATCTGTTAAATGGGAACAATAACACTAACCTTGCAGGAATTAGGTCATGATGAGCAATAATGTTGTAAAACATCTGGTACACAGTGGGTGTTCAATTGATGGTGCATACTATTATTATTGTTTTCCTTTCCCTTTCTGGTGGTCTCTGTATCTTGTCTTTATTACATTTTTAGCAAAGGTTTCACTTAACCCCCTGTATATACTAAATGGCTGTGTACATTCATTTCCAGATGGAGCATCCTAGATGTCAGAGCTTCATAAATGAATGAGATAGGAGGCTGGTGCTCAGACAGGGGCCAGGGGCTATCGGGGGTCAGCAGCAGTATGTTTCAGCACATATATGCAAACACAGGACATCAGCAAGGAAGTGCAGCACGAGGTGGCCCACCAACCCATCCGTGGGTTGCCATTCAAGGTATCATATGGGGTATTTACTGAATTCTGCATCCAGCAATGGTCCAAGAGGAAACCAAAAGACAATGCCAAAATACACAATTTAGTATTAATCAAAGGTGGACTAATTTATAATCCAGAATTTCATGCTGACATGTTGTAAATTGGGCACCTGAACTTCTGGAAAAATGCCACCATGTTCAGGTAAATAGAATTTAGGCACTTCCAATCTGGTTTCATTGGTTGGCTGTCTGGCTATATTCAGCAGGAATGAGGAAGAAGTCTTCCCAGTGCTGCAAAAGCCCTCCCTCTCCCACCACCAGTCTTCCATTGGGAGCAAGGAACGACTCGCCCATAGGATGGCAGGAGAATGTTTCAAAGTGTGATCTAGACAGGCTAAGTTGAGGTCATGAGATGATTATTCCAAGCCTTGAAGCTGGATGGGCTGTCTGCAAGCGGGCCAAATCCTGCTGCAAAGATCAGCACACAGGCCACCCAAAGAAGTAACCTAGGCACAGGGACACATCAGCCCTCTCCACTTAAGCCCCCACTAAACCTCCCCCACCCCGGAAGGGCCAGAGCCCACATTGCCTGGAAGAGCATATGGGCAGCAGCCTGCATTACTCTTGAGCCCTTGGCACCACTGAAGCCTTGCTGGGCTCAGAATGGCCCATGGCTGCTCTAATGCTAACTGTCCCCACCCCACAGGCCTGCATGATATAGCCCCACACCTTTCCACCTCACTTCACTGCCCCCTTCACGTCTGCACTTCAGCTTCTGGGTCATCTTCATTTTCCTTCCATGTGCCTTGCTGTTTCTTACTTGTAGTGTTTTCTTCCTAAATGCTTGCTATCGCTTTCTACTTTATCTGCACAGCTGTACACACCCCGTTAACACCTATTCATTCAGTAGATCACCAGTAAATACTCTCCCCCTGGGGAGTCTCCTGTGACCTCACAGAACAGGCAAGGTCCTGTTTATGGGGTCTCAGGTAACCCAGTGATTTTTGCAGCACTTTTAGCTGTAATTAAAGGAGTAATTGCATAATTCTTTGCTTCCAGCTAGTATAACTAGAAAGTATTTCCAACAAGAATGCAAACTAGAATCGCTGAGCACTACCAAGCTTAGGCTTGGCCTGGTCTGTTCCCTTCTTAGAAGGTTCCAGGAGCTTCTTCTTGGTTGTGGGCAGGCTCGTCAGCTCCTTCCTCATAGAAGGAACAAATAAAAGATGGATAAGCTTGAAGAGATCCTTAATAAACTATTTAAAAGGAAAATTCCTCAACAAACATAAGCACAACATGGTAGAATCAAATGGCAGTCCTGGGGATAAATCTGGGGACATTTTTGATATTTCCCTTCTCGAGGCCAGTGTTACTTCTTCACTTAAGGTCATTTTTAGGTTAGATATTTTGGATGGGCAGAAAGTGACCATTTGCTCCTTTGGAGTAGCTATTCTAGAGTCCCTTTGGCATTGATGGTTGGACTGGTGAGATAAAAGGGAGTAAAAAAAATGAGGTGGAATGTAGAACTTCTATTATTGTTCCGTCACTACCTGAGAATCTCTTGAAACTATCTCTGCTATGGATTGGGAGATATTTCTCCTCCCCCTACTTATCAGTGATTTTAGCCCTGACTTTATCCATCTTTGCTTAGGCATACATGAATGGGGCCAGATTTGACCAAGACTATTGTGTAGGTCAGGGAAAGAAAGCCACAAAAAAAATCAGGTAAAATCTTATTAAATTGAAATCTTACTGGCAACTGTAAGTCAAAACAAAATAAAGTTTTTAGGCACATCTCTTAGTTTGGTTGTTGGAAATGGTAATGATGGAAGATGTGCAGATACAGTTAGCATGGCATGAATACAGGAGAAAGATTACGTGTGCTCTGGTCCTGTTTGACACCTAGAGACCTTACTTTGGTTTTAAAAGTTAAGTTCAACTATTTAGGTCTCCATAAAGCCCTTTCTTAAAATTTATGTTTACAAAATGTTCAGGTGAAATAAAGCACCAGTGAGTTTATTTTGCTTATTTCTATATCTCTAGTAGTATCCACGTTTAGTTCCTAGCTTGCATGTTTTTATCCTTGTCACTTGGTTGGTTCTTGCTAACTCTGCTGCTACGGTTCTGTGCAAGGGGATGCAGAATGCAGTCTCCGCAGTTTATAATGTGGGCACCTCTTCCTCCTCCCATGTGTAGCCACACTGGTTTATTAGATGTTCTGCTTATAGTCCTGAGTCAGGGCAACATGCTGCATGAGGGACTGGCAGACACCAGGCCTGGCTATTTCCCCTGCTCTGTTTCCATCATCACAACTTCACATTTCTTCTCTTTATCTTTCTCCTCTCTTCACTCTGTGACAGCAGTTGACTGTAGGCTAAGCTGTAGGAGCTCATTTTAGACAGATGCCCATCTTATGGCATGAGAAGTGGAAAAATATAGGGGACCTTTTGGAGGCTCTTTCTTCTTAAATTGTATTCAGTGTCTGTGCCATTTTTGCCTGAGCCGGGTAAGGGGCATCTCCTGCAAGCTCCTCTACACCGAAGGAGTGGTTCTCTTAAGGCAAAGGTACTTCGTATGACACATAGCCAATTCTGTTGTCCAGGCGAAGTCCAAGAGATCAGCTTAAGATAACTATTCTATACAAAATAAGGCATTTTTTTCCCTCTAATTTGAATTACTTCCATAGTTTTAAACTTTATCAAGTATCTGAGTTGCATTGAGGGCTTTCTAAAAAACAGATTTCTGGGCTGCATCCCCGAGTTTCTCAGCAGTCCGGAGCTGGCTCTTTGCATTGCTATAAAGTT